AAAGCGATAGACGTAAATTCTGAAAATTTTTCCACATTTTCATGTACATCTCCGAAACGGTTGAAAAAATCTGTACAGCCTTAATGACCTTTTCGATAGAACGTCTCAAGAACTATCGTTGCTCACTAAGGTTCATTTAGAAATTCCCAACCGTTCAAAAGCTACAGGCAAAATGACCAAAATCTAACGGGGCGTCGAAGTTAAAAACGTTATATCTCAGAAACGGTTGCATTTACGTGAAAAATCGTTAGGAGCTTTTCGATAGAGCGTCTCAAGAACGATCTTTTCCTCATTTACTCCTATCGTAAATTCCTAACCTCTGAAGAGATAAACCGAAAATTTGAAAACTTTTGGCCCTGTACATGCATACCTGCGAAACGGTCGAGTGTTTGACACTGCAAAGGCTTTATTTAAGGATCGTAGCCTTGAAAAGCTACAAACAAAAATGTCAATTTTCAATGAGCTCTGGACGTTCAAGTCTCTATCTCTAACAAATGGGCTCAATATACATAAAAAATCATTAGGACCTTTTCAACAGAGAATCCCGAGCACTATCTTAGCCTTAAAGGGTTTAGTCCAAAATGTCCAAAAGAATGTCTCTTAAACTTTTCCGATGAAAAAAACTGATCTACTCTTTGTTCCTTTATTAATTATCCCCAAATGCTTGAATATTTGAAGATCCTGATGAAAATTTCATTGATAAAAAACCTTCACAGAATGCCGCCAACTTTGAAAGTTTGAAATGGCGCCAGCTCGAAGCCGCAAGCTTTTTGTAGCCATCCAGTCAAACCAACACTCGCAATTCATATTTTATTACAGTAGAGCTGGCGCTTTAGCCTCTTTCGTGACTCTCATTATTTCGCAAGCAGGCACATGACCATTGAAAAGATTGGAAAACCAAAGAGCCTCAATTATTTCCGTTCCACTTTTTCAATCATCTAGCTCGTTGCCCCATTTCAGCGGGGGACAAAGGCCGCTCCGAACCAACCAAACATCTTTTGTTCTACGTATTCTTGCCATAATTGGACGGGAAGAGTTATGCCGGCAACGGAAATACATACAGACGCTTGGCTAAATAGATAATTGGATCAGATCGGCATTAGTTCAATCTGCTCCTGTTCGCCTGCGGGTTTTGTCCAACCTCACGCGACTTTTAATTAGCGGTCATGCAGTGGAAATTAGTAACAAACAAATCGGTGAGACGACACGTTTCGCTTGCATGCCCTTCGGGTATCGATTTCAATTCAATAAACCGTTTGAAGAATCGACTTTAATTGCGGTTGAACACACAATGTGCGCGCCCAACATGTTTGCATTAATTTTACTGTTTCCACTTGGTAATTGAGAAAGGTTTTCAATGAAAAATCGCCTTTTAATTGGACGCCGGGGGGTTAATGAAGCTCGTGCGCTAATTTGTTTGTGTTCGTTTCCCTACAACACCCTGAACTCGTGTAGCTACTCGTGGATGTCCCTTACAAATCACCGTAAAAAATCACAAAATTCTGAAGACATGTTTTAACTGTTTGCAGTGTGACGGACCGATTGTTGCCGGAACTGAAAGTATTTGTGTGCCCCCATTCCCGGTGAGTTCTAGAATGTGATGCTATTTGTAGAATGCCTATGGACTATTGTACATAATCCGGTCGCTTATGATACACCGTTTGTATTTTCGCATGGCTGGATGCGTCGATTCCAATCCCCTGCCATTCTAGGGAGATTCTTTGAATTGTTCCCCTTTAGTAAAATACAAAAGGTGTATTGATTGGGGAGCATCAATGGCTTGTTGAAGAACAATCGCGAACCTAGAGAGGCGTCAGTGTGTAGTCTAGTAGTCTAGAAGAATGCTTGGCTTCAAATCACCAACTTCCTCCTTAGTCACACTTGTAGATGTTGTTGATGTCTTGCAGTGGTTCAGATGGGTTCCGCGCAAACTGTTCAAGTTCTCGCTAAGCAAAGTGCATGGCAACCACCTCGGCTAAAGAAAGTTCGAAAACTGAAAGTTTGCTTTTCCAAATTAAAGCTAATGGAGGCTTAAAAGCTGCCTCGCTGTAGCAACTGTTGAGTTTTTGCCGTGGTAAATGTTCTGTAAAAAATGTCCAAAAATATGCAATTTCACCAAGCAAGTCACATTTTGCAAAATCGTCGTTTTTACTCCAAGGTAGTGAAGGTCTCGAAATTTGGCACAATTATAGCCAAAACTCCGTTCTTTGTCCCAAAAAAATTGAAAATGCATTAAGTCGTCCTGCGTTTTTTCCGCAAAACTGCGGTTAAAAATCACAAGTTTGTTTAGTGCAAGCACCCCTTAAAAAATTCTGATTCAAAATCTAAATCTTTTGTTCAAATAAAAATCATTATGTTGTCGTAATGCAAGCTTTTTCAAAAAATTGCAATTTCCAAGCCAAAGCCCTAAAAAACTAATCCTGCTATTATCTTCTAAACATTGTTGTTCCACATCGAGAAACATTTGCATCTTTACGTCTCTTGTCGGTCTAAACCGTATTTTCTGTTCTAATAATGGCAATAGCCGGATCTGAGCAGTTACAATGAAGCCGACACGCCTATAAAAGCGCCCAATAAAATTTAATATCCCATAGAGTCAATTCCATCTGTTGTCAGTAGCATGTAGCGATCACATAAAATATCGCACTATCTGCAGATAGAGGTTGGCTTGCTTGCGTTCCGAACGTTCCAGATTAAAACAGCCGAACGAATTTATTGGTTTATGTAGTTTATCTGTCCTTTCTTAACAAGATCACTGTATATAAATAGAGCTCCCTCTATCTCACTATGAGAGAAATTGAAGTTTCTGCTCCATTAGTACCAGGATGCTAATCAACCCTTTTTGGGGCTCAGCATGATCATTTTCGCTCGGAAAATAAGTTTCCACTTTGAGGAGGGCGCAATAAACCCGTAAGCTCCAAAGTGATCACAGTTCCGTGCCTGGAACCAATTAAAGCCATTTATACACGTGATAAGTATGCCGTAAAGCAGAACAACCGTTTCGTAGCCGTCTAATGGTCATTTTTATGTGGTTTTCGTGGTTGTTTGATGCGGTCCGTTTTGCGACGACACTACATCGAGACAGACACTTTGTATCCAAAAATTTCGTGAAAATTAGCATGTTAACTATTTAAAGAACAATTTAATATCGTCGATAGACGTTTTATGTATCTTTGGCTCCTCGGCGATACTTGACAGCACGGTAATTCCTCCGGGCTCAATATTGACTTCTCAAAAACCGACAGCGACACTCAACTTTCCAGCAAACATCTTCGTCGCGTTAAAAAATATTTAACCAGCTGTTTAAAAGCGACAGTTTCCGTGTTAAGAGCACGTGGATTTTTGCCACGCCCAGGCCCTATCGATCTCACTTTGGCACGAAAATCTGCAGCATTTTTTCTCACTGCGGTTTGGCTGAACTGTCGCGTATTTGAAACTTCCTGTCGAACGAATCGCGCTAAATCAAGTTGTAGTAGTGGCTTGATGACGAATTGAAGCTACAAGCATTCTACCCTCTGGGCAAAGGATCTTTGCGATCAACTCTGGTATATTGGAAAAGCGATAACCGGACCAGCTGGTTACCGTGGTTACTGGTATGCAGCTCTCACTCCCACTCGCTGCAGCAAACGTCATCCATCGCGTTCAACTCGGCTGGATGGCGCTTGCTTTGCTACGAGGTGCTGTGAAAGAGTCCAGCATTTGGGTGGACACAATGTCACAAATCAGTCTAACAAATTACGATTAGGTACGTTAAAGGCTTTGACAGAATAAATCAATATGCCGATAAGGTTGTGTGTATTATTTGCCCCAGGGGGACGTGAAATGCTGTTGGGCTGATGGCTAATCTTGTTCGTTCCACATGCAATTTATGCGTCTGTAGTGCAAAAATCGTGCAAGTATTTCCTTCAGGTGGAAACCGGCGAGCAACGAAGCTTTTTTCAACTTTCTATAGATTGGAACTTCTGATCGCAAAAGCGTTGTTGAAATTCCTCTAAAACTTTCCATTTTTCCATCCGAACCAGTTGTTAATTCCGCCGCAATAGAATCGTGTTATCTGGCCATTTTCCAGCAGAAAACCCGCGTTTTCCACTGTGCGAAACACTGTTTTATCTGCAACAACTTTTCGGTAGGCTCGGGGGGAAAATTGCCCGGTTAATCCCGAAAACTACATGACATCAAAATCAGCTCGAATTGTTCGCGATTTTCCGTATTTCCAGCCGATTGACAGCAAAAGTGCATTTTGTCGGAACGGCAGACGCAGAAGCCTGATTCAAGGAGGCCAATTAGGTTTCCAGCACACTTGCAACGAGGAAAAATTGCAAATTTCCCACTCTTGCCTCTAAATGGGCGCATTTCATGTGCGGTTTTCCTGCAGCCGCCAAACTTACGACTGGCTTGGGACCGCTTAGGCCCTAAATGCATCGGTTTTGTGACAGATGGGCCTCTTAACACGTAAACTTGCAGAAACTCGAAGAAACTTGGCCGCAATTGCCCGATTCAACTTCAAAGGGCGACGATCGATGCTCGTGATGGGCGAATATGTTGGGAAATCACAGCTGATTGTATCGCAAACAAGAAGAGCGTTGYTTCAGTTGCTTGGTACTTTTGCATCCAATCGACGGATTTACTGCTCAATAAAKGGCCGCGACGGAATGGGAATAAGGGGGACTAAACCTGGATAAATTATTGACCCAGAAGGGCCTTTTCGTGTAGGGTCGCACAACCGCGTYGAGGATGGTTTATCAACARTTTTATTTGGCAAAAATTAGTCATCTAGATGCGGCTGGGTAGAAACGCCTTAATTGATCGATGCMCAATGAAAGGGATTTTTTTACAACCTCAAAGTCTCCYTAAAGGAATTGCTTCGCAACTTGTAGACCACTTATAGACCTTCGAAATACGAAAAAATAWTWAGAARACTTCGTCTTCTAARSTGCCAAAAARTCATKTTTATTCAGCACCAAAAAWGTCAC